CTCCTGAACTTCTGCTCGCTCCACCCCTCAAGGCTGCTTAGCTGGAAGGTGGGGATCAGTTTTGGCTTCAAGGGAGAAAAATAGACTCTGAGTAGGAAAGAATCTTGGACCCATACAGACTTGCAGAAACTTGTTAATTGATACCATCAGAAATTTGGGGAATATACAGGGAAATGGATTTTTGTGGTGCTTTCCCTTCAGGAAGAGGAAATGTAATTTTGGACCAGGCTGATCTTCTTGATATGGACACATGGATCAGGCATTCTGCATTCTCTGTGCTAGCTCCTGGAGCTGGCTGGGTTCTAACCATTGATGGGTTGGCTAATGCAAAGTTGGACCAAATGCTAGCCCACATGAAATGGAATTTAAATGCCCCAAATCCCTTGGCATCATGTAGAGGAAGGGATTTAAAGATTTCTGAAGAGAAGGAAGCTGGATTGGATCTATTTTGTGCCTCCTTCTCACAAATACCTCCAACTGTGGCCCTCAGTGAACCCAGAACGCTTTACCTTCACTTTGAGGTGAGTCTAGATCAGGAGCGCTGGGTGGAAGGGCTGTGATTTGACGTGGGTTCCCTGATCTCAGAGGGGAAGATGAGGTAGGGGTGTAGGAGGCCAGGTGTTGGCACTTAGCCCTCAGACATAAGTGGGAGTAGTCATCACAATATTCAGCAGGCCCTGAATGAGGCAAGATCTCATGCTGGATGGCCCTAAAAAGTTACATCAAAGGTGACCACCGAAGTATTACTTGATTTGTATAACCACAAAGCACGAGAAATGAAAAGCCCTGGCAAAAAAGTCCTGACTTGAGCCACCGTGATGGTTACAGATCATCACTGGATACCTAGGCTTGAGTTCATTGATTGATGTAAGGCCCTTTGAATGAAGGATATGCTGCTTGTGCTTGACGAAGGACTCGCTATCCTACTACATGATCATTTAATCTTAATGTAATGTAATGTGATCATTTCTCTTGCTGTCTCCGAAAGGACCCGTGGCCATTTACCAGGGTAACTGGGTGTTGAAGAAAGGGAAATACCCAAACTGTTCAGGAAACCTTGGATGAAGATTTTGAGCCACTACCAATTTTTTGGGTCCAAGAGTACTGTAGGTCCACCAATCATGTGAAACATAGTGTTTTAACCTTCCTCCATGTCACCGGAAGTCTAGTGGGATCCCAAACTTATCCTGTATCTCTGGATGTATCTCTGGAATGGTAGCTGGAGAAGATCCCCACATTGGCTCCCTGACCCATGGAGCCATTATAATATAAAAGGCCAATAGAATCCAATTGAGCAGCTATTTCAAAACTGAAAAAACAGCGGCCCCACATCTTTGTGGAGGCTGCAGAAATTAGCACCTCCACCAAAAACTCTGCAGGGTGATGCCTCCTATCAAAACACCATTAGTTTCCTCTGTTTGGCTGGCACAAAATTAGATGGGTCTTGGAAAATAACAGCAGATTATTCTAATCAAGTGGCAATTCCAATTTTAACTGCTGTGTTAGATATGCGCTTCTTATTACAGTCCCTGGAGCTAAGTGCATTTACTGGCTTCATTCCAAGAAACAGAAACCATTGGGAGCATTTTGCTATTAGCCGGAGGGCTAACAGTTTTCCTTTACTATTCAACTCAGGACACCTCAGTTCTCCAGCTTTGTACAAGGAAGACTGTGATTCCCTGATCATCCCTATTCTATAAGACGTCAAACTGATCCCCTACATTGATTAAATCACACTAATAGGGCCTGAAGAGCAAAAAGTGAATTTCTAGTTATGTATGAAACAGTTTCCTTATGTTAGGAACATTTAAAAAACTGTGTGTATGGGGAGGTGTGAGCACATGGTGTGCTGGGCAGCCAACATTTGGAATGTAGTGGATACCTGCTATTTTTGCCTATTAACGTCCCCCCCCCACCCCCCGTTTATTTTGTTGACATCACGTGGCCTTTTCTTCGACTAATTACCTTTCTTCCACCCCACGTGGTCTGTGGCAGATGTGACTCCAGGTTCCCTGCCCTCCATCCCCACCTAGGGAGAGGCATATGACTCAACCTAGGCAGATCAACCTCTCCCCTGGGACTGGGACAGTGAGTAGAAAGATCCAAGAAGGAAAGTGATTGGAGGCAGGTCATTTGGATGGCAGTGTCCTAAACAGACGGTTCACGGGTCCTGCTACTGAGGTCCCTAGAGCTCCCCTCTTGCCTATATTTCCTGAGGCCTGGCCAGTCATCTTTCCCTTTGATGGGTGAACATCACCAATACCCTTCTGTAGGGCTGAACAGTGGTCCCAAAGATATGTCCACATCCTAATCTCCAGAAGCTATAAATGTTACCTTATTTAGAAAAAGGGTCTTTTTGCAGACGTGATTAAGTTAAGGATCTTGAGATGAGATCATCTTGGATTATCCGAGTGGACCCTAAACGCCATCACAAGTGTCCTTACGAGACAGAAGCATGAAGAGATTTGACCCACACAGAGGAGAAAGCAACATGATGACAGAGGCAGAGATTGGAGTGATGCAACCACAAGCCAAGGAATTCCAGCAGCCACCAGAAGCTAGAAGAGGCAAGGACAGGATTCTCCCCTAGAGCCTCCGGAGGGATGTGGTCCTCCTGACACTTGATTTTGGATTTCTGGCCCTCACTGTTTGCTTAACTTAGTCAGTTTCTGTTGCTTGCAACCAAAGAACCCAAATTATAACAGTTGTTCATCATTTCAATTATTTACTCTAAGGAATTATCCTTTTTGACTAAGTTAGTTCCAGCTGGATCCCTGTCACTTGCAACCTGTGCCAAATCCAAGATTAGAATCAGAAAATGTGTCTGAATCCCTCCACATATCCCCCACCCTACCCAATCCCCCAGACAGCACACCAGGCAGCCAGCTCGGCACAGGCAGAAACAGGTCCCTGGGCCAGCCTCTTTATTTGCATGATGGTTTTCAGTGATACATGGGCACGGGAAAGAGTTGCTGCTTTTCTTCCAGGACCACACACAACCTCATGATGGACGCAGGCCAGACGAACCTCCCCTGAGCTCTCTCCACACCAGCATTAGGGACTTGTCTGTGGGGTCAGAGAGTCTGGACGCTATGTGGCTCCTTGGTGTGTTCAGCAAGACCATAAGGGTGGTGCATGCAGCTCTTCTGGTCCCTGTGCCCCAACCTGGGCAGAGCTGGGTGCAGACGTTGAAAGGTGAGCGTGCAGGAGGGCTGGTGTGTGCACGGTGAACTCATGAGCAGCCCCTTGGCTTAGCTCCAGTCTCTGCTCCAATCTGGAGACTCGGAATCCACCACGTGTGGAGGCCTACGATGCACCAGGCCCTGAGTATGAGACGAGGCCTTCACACGGGCCATTCTCTCTGCTTGGAATACGCTTCCTGGAACCCCCACTGGCTAATTAGCTATTTATCCGTATGATGGCAGGTTAAATCGTCACTTGCTCAGGAAAGTCTTCTCTGACCGTCTCGGTTAATCGTCACTTGCTCAGGAAAGTCTTCTCTGACCGTCTCGGTTAATGGTCCCTGCTACATCGTCCGTGCTTCTAGTCCCCTGTACGTGGTAGAGCTCACTGTTACATGTTTACGTGATTACTGGATTAAAATCTGTCTCCCCCACCAGTCTGTAAGCTTCACAAGTACAGGGATATATATTCTGTTCCTTATCATATCTCTTGAACCCAGTAAGCAGTCAATAAATCGGAGGCCAAGTGGGCTCAGTAAATCTGAGAAGTGGCAGGGCTAAGACGGTGGTGTGTGTGTGTTGGGGGGGGACACAGTGTGGGGGACTGGAGAGTGCATGCTCACCCAAAGGCATTCCAATTGAAAAAATATACTAAAAATACTGTTCAGCTAAATAAAATGTGTCTGCAGGCCACACGGGAAGCCCCAGCTTATGATTCTTCTAAAAGATAGTTGTTGAATGAGTGAGTGAAGAATCTGCAAGGAAATCGGTGTAAAAGCCTCAAAAAGCAAGGAGGAAGAGGGGGCAGAACTGGAAGGACCTCCTTTTCAGTCTTGTCTACACCTCTCGGGGGCTGGGTCTCTCTGGTTATTTCATTTCCTCTTTCTCCCCAGTGCTTGGCACACAGTTAAGCTGTAGGAACTGGTTGATCCACTCAACGCTGACTAGACACCTGCTCCCCACCAAGCCCAGGTTCAACCAGACAATGTCTTCCATCGTGAAGCTCAGGGTGCTGGGACAGTCAGAGCCACAGCCAGGCAACGACAGCACAGTGACGGGTGTTCTGGCAACAGTATGTGAAAAGTGCTACGGGAAGCATCCCCTCCCAACTTTCCCAGCAAGTGGAGAGAAGATGCAGCAGGGGAATATGCCATATGTCCCCCGCAAGGACGAGGGCGCGGAGCTGGCCAAAGGGCAGGAGTCACAAGCATTTGCCTGCATGGTAAGAAGGGAACTGCCAAGGTGAGATTGAGGGATCCGAGGTGGGGGACAGGTGTCCACGCTTGGCAGCCCCTTGCCACCAACATTTCAGAGTCGAGCTGGCTTTAAGTCACTGCCTCCTCTGCTCCACTGGGCTTTCGGCTCCCTCCAGGGCACGGATTGTGATGATGGGCTGAAATCTGGAGATGCGGCAAGAACTCGCTCACTTCACACATCAGGTCCTAGCATAGCCAGGTCGAGACCTCAGGCCTCAGGCTAGGGCCCCTTCAGATGTTCTGTATCTCAAGCCAGCCCTGGGAGGAAGCTGCAGGAGACTACTGCTTAACAAATCTTGCACATTAGCTAAAGGGGCAGCTCCCACCCCCTTCCTCCCAGACTTCATCTTTGAGAAAAGAACCACATCTTTTTTTGTGTGTAAAGATTAGCCCTGAGCTAACATCTGCCGCCAATCTTTTTTCTTTTTTCTTTTTTTTTTTTGCTGAGGAGGACTGGCCCTGAGCTAACATCTGTGCCCATCTTCCTCTACTTTATATGTGGGACACCTGCCACAGCATGGCTTGATAAGTGGTGCATAGGTCTGAACCCAGGATCTGAACCTGCAAACCCCAGGCTGTGGAAGCGGAGCATGCAAACTTAACCACTGCACCACTGGGCTGGCCCCTGGGCTCCTACTTCTGAATTCCCTGTCTGGTCCTTTCTCTAGCTCTGACAGAGGGTTCTAACTCCACAGATCAACTCTGGGGGATCCATGAACCCCCTAAAACCCCATGCAAACTTTGTGAGGGCAGAAGGAAGACAGGGCAGAAGGAACATTGGTCTTCGCAGAGCAACAACCCAGATTACAAACTTGGTGCCACTACTGGTTGTGTGACATTTGGGCAAGTCAGTGCACCTCTCTGAGCCTCAGTTTCCTCATCTGTGAAATGGGGATAATTCTCATCCTCCAGCATAGGCCCAAATGTGAGATAGCTAAGAGAGAGGAGATGCTCAGGAATTGTTAGCCTCCTTTCCACTTTCTCCCTTTGGCTCATGCGTGCTTCTCGGATGGCCTGGAGGTTCATTTATAAAGGTCTCTGGGTTGTTCTCCAGGCTCACAGAATCTAGGGTAACACTGTCCTGCTCTGGACCTTTGGCGGAAGGGACCCAGCCTCTGGGTCTCATTTCTCAGGCTGGGGTGAGTAACCCTGAGAGGGCATGCCACCAGGAAGGACTTAAGCAGGGGAGGAATCTCGGCTTTGTTGCAGCTGACTGTAGGGATGTGGGAAGAGGCCCATGGAACCTTGGTTTTAATAAATCTGAGACTTTGGAGGCCCACTGGGGGCCTGGGCCTGCAGGTCTGCAGACCTTCCCCCCCGGGAGGTCTCGTGGGATGTCTCCAGAGATGCCTCCGACACTCCATCAACGCTGCTCAGCAGGTCCTCAAATTCCCGGTGGCCGCTGTTGCGCACAGCAGCCTCCAGAGCCTTCTGGCGCCGGTAGAAGTGGGAGAACTTGTTGAAGATGATGGTGATGGGGAGCGCTACCACCAGGATGCCCCCCAGGATGCAGCCCGAGGCTGCCAGCTTGCCAGCCACTGTCACAGGCACCACGTCCCCGTAGCCCACAGTGGTCATGCTCACTGTGCCCCACCACCAGCAGGCTGGGATGGTGTCAAAGCCCACCTCCTCCTCCTTCTCAGCTGTGTAGGCCACACAGGAGAACACTGACACACCCACGGCCAGATACAGCAGTAAGATGCCCACCTCACGGTAGCTGTGCTGGAAGAGAATGTAAGAAGTCAAGTCAGCGCTGGGTGGGCTTACAGACCTGGTATTGGGCACAGGGGGAAACTGAGGCCCAGAGAGTATGAGGGACAGGTCTGAAGCCACAGAGCAAGGCAGAGCTGGTGCCAAGACCCAGGTCCCCTGACTCCAAACTAAGATCTCTCAACTACAACAGGCAGCAAAACTCCCTGGGACACAGGCCTAATTTCTGTTGTCCGAGGTGCCCACTAAGCCACAGCTGTTCCTTCTAATGCAGGGGCACTGGTGGCACCAGCCAGGTGATGAAAAGCGTGTGGTTTTTACATGGTTGCAGAACCAAGAGAGCACCACAGCTTATATTCCACTCTGCAGAGGTGCTTTCATGTACTGCTGACTGGTCTGTCACATTTCTGAAAAGTACAAAAGTATTTTCCACCTCTCAAGGAAGCTGAGAGGACAGACCACCCATTAAACACACTTGCCTATGGGTGTGGCCAAGCCCTAGGGCAGTGGTTCTCACATAGGGCAATTCTGCCTCCGGCCGTGTGGCAGTGTCTGGAGACATTTTTGGCTGTCACAACTAGGGCAGGTGTGCTCCTGGCATCTAGTGGGTGGAGCCCAGGGATGCTGCTAAACCTCCTACAATGCAGGACAGCCCCACAACAAAGAATTATCTGGCTCCAAATGTCACTCGTGCTGAGGCTGAGAACCCCTAGTCTAGAACAGGGCCTTCCAAACGAATGTGTGGAGGGATCCTGTAGAGATCTTGTTTGAAAGGCAGAACCCAACTGAGTAGGTCTGGGGTATGGCCAGAGATTCTGCAATTCTAGCAAGCTTCCAGGGGATGAGAAAGCTGCTTGCTGGTCAGCGGCCTCGCTTTGAGTAGCAAGGCTCTTGTCTACAGTCTGACACCTGTGTCTTGGACCCTGCAGTCAATACTCTTCTCACTCCTTGCAGAAAAACCTAACAGCCTCAGGCTCTGGTTCCCTGCATGATGGAGGCAAGACGGAGTTCTGGAGCAGAGGGAGAAGTGCGGAGTTCAGGGTGTCTGGCTAATGGAATTCCCTGTACCTGCCCATCGCCCTAGCATTCTGGCCAGGTCCCCTGCCTGCACCCAGCCTCCTGGCTGCCCTGCCATGATGGCATGAAAAAGGCTCTACTAAACCAGAGGTGGAAGGAATCTTTCAGAACCTTCTAGGGATCCTTAGCAGGGCCTCATGGAGCTCTAGGAGAAAGAGGATGAGGTGCTGGAGTCAGGCACTGCTGGGGTCTCCTCTGGGCTCTGCCACTTACTCACGGAGGAACCTCTGACAAATCGTGTCACCTCTTGGGGCCTCAGTTTCCACATCTGCAAAGCAGTGACAATATCATGTCCCCTGGCTTAAACCCCTTAGTCTCTCTTATTCCCTCAGGATAAAGTCCAAAATCATGGGCCAAGAGTTCATGGCCCTTCAGTACCCTATCCCACTCACTTCTTCAACCTCATCAATTGGCACCCTCTTCCTTCCATGTCCCCTCCCAGCATTCATCCTGCTCTCTCTCTGGGCCTTTGTTCAAACTCTTCGCATTTTCTCCCTCCCCAAACCAGGCTAATTGCACCCGTTGGAGGGTAAGCTTGCCAGGGCAGTGAGTCACCCCTACTGCAGGGCTGGCACAAGGAGAGCGCTCAATAAATTGCAACCAGGCTTAAAAAAGCCAAGCCTCCAACCTCAGGTTCTTCATCTACGGGAAGGGAATAAATACTAGCATCTTCCTGAGGAAGCTGTCCTGGGGACGAAATCAATGACGATGCGAAATTGGCACAGAACTAGCACTCAGTTAGTGTTAGCTCTGGGGCTGTTGCTGGACTGACCCTGCTAAGGGTGACTTTTGATATCTGTGGCCCCTGATAATGCCTGAAGAAAGGCTCAGTGGAGAAGCCAGTTAGCATCTTGCTTTGCATATTTTGTGCTAAGTACTATTTGATATTTGACAGATCAAAAGTGATCTTTGACTTTTTCTTTCTCCCCTGGGAAATAGAAATACCAGAAAGCGTTCCTTACATGGCTGTTGGGAATGTCAGACTGGACATGAAATGTACACCTGGCATCTAGCCCTGTGCCCGGCACAAAGAATGTCCCCTCAGTTCATCGTGCGCCTGGACACAGCAGGCTTGTAAGTTCACCTGCTCACCTGCCAGATGGTTATACCCACCTCCCCCAGACCCCCAACCCGGCCTCAGAGGCCCTACCTTGAGCGTGGCACCCAGGGAGCGGAGCCCGGTGGAGTGACGCGCCAACTTGAGCACGCGGAAGATGCGCATGAGGCGGAACACCTGCACCACCTTGCCTAGGTCGCCGAGCTCCTCGCCGCTCGCGCTGCCCTGGTTGCCGAGCGCCGCGCCGGCCACCAGCGTGAAATAGAAGGGCAGCACGGACACGATGTCAATGAGGTTGAGCGGGTGGCAGAAGAAGTTGCGCGTGCTGGGCGCTAGAAGGAGGCGCGACGACACCTCGAAGCTGAACCAGGCGATACAGAAGTACTCGAGGCGCCGCAGCACCGGGTCATCGCGCACGCCTTCCGCGCTGCGGCCGGCGGCGACCGCAGCCACGGCGGCCGCCGCCTCGCGGGCCTGGTACTCGGGCAGGCTGTGGATGCACATGGCGGCGATGGAGGCGAGCACCACGCCGATGGAGACGCAGCTGAAGAGCTTGCTGGGCAGCGAGTATCCCGGGTTCTCCATGGTGAGCCAGAGGCGGCGGCGCAGGCGGCCACAGCGCGCCGCGCCATAGCGCGCCAGCTCACGCTGCACGTCGGAGATCTCGTCGGGGCACGGGTCCACGCTGCTCGGCGTGTCGCTGTCCTCGTCCCAGGCGCGCGGCCGCGCCACTCGCCGCTCCAGGTACCGCGCGCGGCAGCACGCGGCCAGCGCGCTCTCGCCCAGGCCCCAGTAGTCGGCCTCCTGGCCGAAGGCGAAGACGCACAGCTCGTCGAGCACGTGCAGGCGGCCGGTGCGGTAGAAGTGCAGCAGGCCCAGGAAGAAGCCCGGGTGCCGGTCGAAGTAGAACTCGCGCGCCGCCGCGTCGTAGTCGTCGCACAGCCGCCGCGCCTGCTCCTCCGTCGCCGCGGCCTGCAGGCGGCCCAGCCGCGTGCCCGGGAAGCGCGCCAGGGCGCGCGCGCTCAGCCGCCGCCGCACGCCGCCCACGTTCACGCGCAGCGCCTCGTCGCTTCGCCGCCAGGGGACCCCGGCGCCGGGCCTCGGGGACTCGCTCACCATGGCTGCCGCGCGCCGACCTGTGGATACGGGAGGGGCGCACTGAGGGCGTCCCCGGACCTCCCTTCCAAGAAGACCGGCTATAAATCCCCTGCTCCATCTACCAGCCAGGGGAGTTGGAGGCTGTGTGAAGCCTCTGGTATGCAGTAGGCGCTCAGTAGGTGTCAAGTGCCCTCTAGACTCAAGAGTCTGGCTTGGGTTTGAATAGCCCACACTCCCCCTCTGGGGGACTTGGGCCAAATCACTGAGCTTCCCCACCCCCATTTCATTTGCGTAAAACAAATGTGGAGATCTATCTTGGAGGATTATGAAAGCGACTGAATGGCAGGATGTCCTGGTACCTGGTGGTTGCTCCTATAGAATGTCCCCCTTTCCCAGACCACCTTGGATTTTCGTATACCAGAGGTCTCCTGTGGGATCTTTGATACGCCAGCACTCTGAACGTCAGTTTCGTCCTCGGCAAAATGGGGACAGTAAGGCTTACTGCCTAGGGTTGTTGGGAGAATCACTATAGACCAGTAATTTTCAAAGTGTGTTGCCTGGTCTAGCAGCATCAGCCTTACCTGGAAATCTGTCGAAGATGCAGATTCTCAGCCTGCTGTAGACTGCTGGGGTCCAGCAGTCTGAGTTTTAACAAACCGGGAGGGTGATTCTGATCATGGTCAAGTTTGAGAGCCTCTGGCAAGGCTATTTAAAGCATCTGTAGAGTCAGCCAGATTCAACTTTGGCTCTCTTGTGTGACCACAGGCAAGTCGTGTCACCTCTCTGAGCTTTTCTCAAGCAGAGAGAAAAATATCCACCTCCAAGTATGTTAAAAAGATTAAATGAACTAACGTCTTTATCGCGCCTGGCTGCCAGAAGAGGTTTAGTAAATTATCCACCTGTTCCGCTATCTCATGGAGGCAGGCAGCCCGGGGTGTCTCTCCAGCCTAGATGCACCTGGGGCCTTGAGGAAGCTGCTTTTCTCCAGGTCAGGGTTTCCTGCATGATGCACAATGCACAAAGCAGGCACTAGCACCTGCCCCCAAGGATGGCTGTTGGATGGAGGTGCTCGGCCTTAGTGGATGCTCGGGGAATGTTAGATCCTTCCACTGCCCACTGTCTGTAGGCTCTGCTGGACTTCAGGGCCAGTGACTCGCCTTCTGACCCTCAGTAATCTGGTCTGCACTGTGGTTCAGTAATGCTGCCCGGGTGGCTGGAGGATTGCGTGTGCCTCAAGCGGCTGGCCCAGTGCCTGGCAAGAAGAGGGCGGGATGACGTAGCTACCCTGGACTTGACATTAATTGGGTCTGGGTTGTGTCCTGAGCTCTGTCACTTGTGTGACCTCAGGCCAGTGTCCTCCCCATCTGGGCTTTAGCTCTCTCATCTATAGAATGGGGATACTAGCACTTTGGGTGAAAGGTTATTGGGAGTATGTGTGCAAAGCCTCTGGAACACAGTAGGTACTCCATAAATGTTAATCCCTTGCACTGCCCTCTGGTTGGACCTGGGTTCAAATTCTGAGTCTGCCACATACTGTTGACCTTGAGAGGATCCATTTCCTTCGCTGAACTTCACTTTCCCCATCTGTAAACTGGGGAACATCCTACTTTCCAGGAGAGGTTATGAGGGTTAAATGAGGAAGATGTTTATCAGCTGCGCAGCCCCTGGCACATAATTTGTGCACAGTAAGTATGTATGTGATGCAGGTCCACTCCCGCCCCCGCCACCTAGACTTGGCATCAAAAGATGAAGTCTGTAATCTAGTTCCATCACCCATTAGCTGCATGCCCATGGGGAAATCCCTTTCTCTTTCTGGAACTCACCTTCCTGCTCTATGAAATGGGTTAATTAATTCAACAAACCTTCCCGGATAAGAATCTGAATATTAGTAGGAACGATTAAGTCACTTGCTCAAAATTACCCAGCTGGTCCACGGCACGGTTTAGTTTCAAAACGACGCTTTTTGATTCAAGATTCTGTCCACACACTTATTTAGAGTACCTACTATGTGCTGGTCTCTTCGCTGGGCTCCAGGTACACTTCGCTTGGTTTAAACCCTACCCCAACCCTGCCAGGGAGGTTTTCTAATCCCTTTTTACAGGTGAGGCAACAGGACCAGCCCTAAAGCGCGGCCGTCCCACTTTGCTCCCTCCTTAGGGGGTCTTATGGGGCGGGCAGTGGGAGGGCGGCGGCACAGGCACCTGAACGCGGGGCAGCCCCCGCCCCTTCCCCGGTCCATGCCCCTTCCCAGGGAGGCCCCTTACCTGTCGGGGCCCCTCCAGGGCTCTGCGTCTGTCCCCGAAGGCTCCCGGGCTGGGGAACCGCTGGCCGCGCCCGGGCTCGCCTCTGCCCCGGCGGCCCCGCCGAGCGTCGCTGCTACCGGAGGCCCCGCTGCCCTCTCCTTCCCTGTGTTCCTCCGTCCCCAGCGGCTGAGGCCGCATCGATCGCTGCCGGGGGCGGGAGCGAGGCCGCGGGCGGCCGGGAGGCGGTGGTTTCTATTCCTGACTCGGTTTGGGGGGGTGGTGTCTGGAGCCTGGGCCCCACAGCCGGGGCATCCCCCTAAGTTAGGGACCAGGGGATGCGGGGTTACTTAGGGGACGGGGTTCCCCTAGAGATGGATTTCAGCCGGAGCTGCTCCGACACATGAACAACAGTAACAGGAGCTTCCTGAGTGCAGTCCTTCAATGTGCCAGGCACTCTGCTTTGGGTGACTTATCTAAGTTATTTGTACACAGATTTCACAGGGACAGGGTCTCACGTTCCCCATTTCCCAGACGAGGCTCGGTCACCTGCTCAGGGCACTTAGCTGGGAGTAGTGGACCTGGGATTGGAACTCACATCTTTCAGGACTGTGGCTGGGCCTCTGCATTGGGAGCTGGAGACTGTGGCCTCCTCTCCCTGTGAGCCCGGCCCTTCCCCTGCCGGCTGTCAGGCCTGCAACAGATCATTTTGCCCCTTGAAGTTCAGTGTCGTCTGCTGCCCACAGATTTCGGATTCCCGCCTTCCCAGTGGGCTGTGAGGGTAAGGGAGAACTGTGCCAAAGAGCTTTGTTAAGGTTGTCTAATCTGCAAGCATTTATTGAGCACCTACTGTATGCCTGGTTGGGGAGAGGGTGCTGGAGATTCAGACCTGGTTACAAGAAAGGATTTCTACTTTATAACTATTACTACTAATAATGATATTAACCAACATTTATTGAGCACTTGCCGTGGGCCTCATCTATTCTACGGGCCTCATCTCATTTAAGCTGCAAATACATGTGTGGGGTAGGTGTATTATTATTCTAGTCTCCCAGATAAGAAATGTAAGGCTTTGAGCGGTTCACCTGAGGTCATATGACTCAATTCTGAGTCCTCTAGGCCAGCACTATCCAATATATATAACGCGAGCCACACATATAATTGAAAATTTTCTGATAGCAACATTAAAAAAGGTAAAAAGAACAGGTGAAATTAGTCTTAATACTGTATTTCATTTAAGCCGGTATGTCCAAAATATTATAATTTCAACACGGAATCAGTAAAGAAATTATTAATGAGATATTTTACATTTCCATTTATTTTCTCCTTTTTTCCCCACAGCCCCCAGCATGTAGTTGTATATTTTAGCTGTGGGTCCTTCTAGTTGTGGCATGTGGGATGCCGCCTCAGCATGGCTGGATGAGTGGTGCTAGGTCTGCGCCCAGAATCCAAATCGGCAAAACCCTGGGTAGCCAAAGTGGGGTGCACGAACTTAACCACTCGGCCACAGGGCCAGCCCCTACATTTTCATTTTTGGGCTAAGTCTTAAAATCCAGGGTATTTTTGTTGCTGTGTGACAAGTTACCACAAACTTAGTAGCTTGATACAAATGGATTATCTCACGGTTTCTATAGGTCAGAAATCTGGGCACGGCATGGCTGGCTTCCCAGCTCAGGGTCTCACCAGTTTGAAGTCAACGTGTCAGCCAAGGCTATGGTTCTCATCTGGGGTTTGGGGTTCTCTTCCAAGCTCACAGATTGTTGGCAGAATTCATTCCCTTGTGGTTGTAGGACTGAGGTCCCCCTTTTCCTGCTGTCTGCTGGGGATCGCTCTCAGCCCCTAGAGGCTACCTGCGGTTTCTTGCCACGTGGCCCCACAGGCGGTTCACAAGATGGATGTTTGCTTTCTTCCAGCCAAACCAGAATGCTGATTTCCTCTTCTAGGACCAGCCAGAGAAACTGCTCTGCTTTTAAAGAACTCACTTGCTTAGGCCAGGCCCACCCAGGACAACGTCCCTTTTGCTGTATAACACACATTCAGATTCTACATACACTCAAAGAGGAGATTATACAGGGGCAGGGGCACTGGGAATCATCTTAGAATTCTGCCTCCTCCATCCGCCTACAGTAAATCTCAATTTGGATTAGTCACATTTCACGTGCTCAGTAGCCACATGTAGCTAGTGGCTACCTTACTGGACAGTGCAGCTCTAGGCGGTGCCCCCTCAATTCTTCCCTCAAAGTAATAAGTCAGAGCAGGAAGATGCTTAGCCATCATCTTACCCAATTCCCTCGTTTTGTCAACAAAGAAACTGAGACAGATCTGCGGAGAAGCACTTCTCCCGTTTCCTGGCCTGGAGCTCTCCCTGCTGCCTCCACTGCCCCCCATACTCAGGGAGATCCCCCTGGGGTTGGAGAGGTAGTTTCCAAGAAGAGAAAAGATAGACCTATTTCCCAAGGGCAGAAGAGAATGGAACCAGGATCCGTTTCACTCCCAGATCACATGAGAGGTAAACAGAGTGTTGGATGAATTAATGAGTGACAGGAGTGGGAAGAGGGGCATTCTGGGCCTCTGGGGCTAAAGGGGTATCCATACCCTTTACATGCCGTAGATGGGCTGTCCCCAAATTCTCCTTCAGTCCTGGCCAGAAATGGCCATCTGAACCCATGAGGTTTTACCCTAAAGAGTAAGCTTGATGTTGCATAAGGTGCAGACCTTTTTGTAATTAAGTAGGCAGCTTCTAGAATGTCACCCAATGATCTCTGCCTCCTGGTATTCATGCTCTTGTGTAATCCCTTCCCCTTGAGTGTGGGCAGGATTTACTGATTTGCTTGTAATGAACAGAATACGGCAAAGGCGATGGAATGTTGCTTCTGGCTTTAGGTTACACTAGATTGTGACTTCCTGCTGCCTTGATGGAGCTAGTTGCTGTGCTGGAAACACAAGGATATGAGGACAACTTCCAGCCAACAACCAGCCAGGACCTGAGGAAGTCAGCCCAAGAGCCCTCAAGGAACTGAAATTCTGCTAACAACCCCGTAAACTTGAAAGTGGCTCTCTCCAGTCGAGGCTCAGATGAAACCCCCGCCCCGGCCAACACCTTAATTTCAGCCTTGTGAGACCCTGAAGCAGACGACCCAGCTAATCCTGGATTCTTGACCCACAGAAACTGTGAGATAATAAATGTGTGTTGTTTTAAGCCACTATGTGTGTGGTAATTTGTTACACAGATAACTGATACCACTGTGTTTGAATCCTGCCTTTACCACTGAATTGCTGTGAGACCATGGGCCAAGTGACATCTCCTCTTGGATTCTTATCTTTCTCATCTGTAAAATGGGAACAATACTGCCTTTCAGAATTGTGGTGAGGAATAGCATATGCTGTTCCCTTTCCGTGAGCAACTCTTCCTGCCTTTTCCTTACCCAGTATGTCAGTTAGGATTTAATTCAGCAGCAAAAACAAAAACTGAACCATAGAGCTGAGTAATCAGAGAGAAGCTGACATTTTTTGGCAGTCCAGAGATGGTGCAGCTGCCCAAGAATGGCACTGAAGACCCAGCCTCCTTGTCACTTCCTCCTCCACTGTCCTTGTGTGGCTCCCATTCTAGTAGCAGAGGCCAGTGATTTGTCCATATCCCCTTGGATCCCTTTACCACATTTGTGCACGCTGGCTCCTGGCATGCTTTCCCTCCCAACGGCTAGTATCTGCATCTCTTTGTCAAAGGGCTACTGTAAGGCTACAGAGCCTGCTATGCCAGCACACAAGGAAAGCCTGAAGTGCCCGGGAATTTATGGGCCCCAACCCCCACCCCCAAGTTCTTAACTGATAACTGAAGGGTACAGAGGCTTACATGCTGCAGCGTCCTTGCTCCATGGGGACAACTCAGAAGAGTCACTACACTTGTCTCTAGACCCCTCCTGTGGGACTTTGCTTATGTCACACCCTTACTGGTCTCCCTCCCTTCCTGGTACACTTCTCCACTCCCATACCCATTTCTCCTGGGAGCATTTCCAAATCATCACCATCCTGTGATCTTCATCTCAAGATTTGCTTCTGGGGAAAACCCACCTAAAGCAGTCCTCAAGGTCACCAGACAGCGGTTCTGGCTGCAGCAGCCATGCAGGAGGGCGAAGGGTGAGTGGATGATGGGCAAAAGGCTGAATCTATCCCATTCCTTAGAAAAACAATAGCCTTCTGGGAAGTCCCACCCACTAGACATCCTCTAACTTCTGACTGGCCAGTTCTAGGTCACATGGTCATCCCTAGCTGCAAGGGAGCCTGAGGAGGAGGAAACAATTTTTTAAAAAATTAATTTACTTAAAAAAATTGAAGTATAGTGTTCTTATAGTAAATCTTAAGTTACAGCTAAATTGATTTTTTTACAAATTTATGCATCCATGTGACTGCCTTCAGGGTCAAAATACAGAATGTCACCAGCACCCCAGTCACCTGGGGGCGGGGGGTGGCCAAATGTTTCCCACTGGGGACATTGCTGTCGTTAAGGAAGAAGAGGAAAATGGATGGCCAGCAGTGTCATACTTGGCTAACTCTTACTAAAACCCAAGGTCTCGGCTTGGCTGTCACCTCCTTCAGGAAGTCTTCTCTGGTCTCCAGGCTGAGGTAGGTCCCTCCTGGCCTTGCAGAGTCTTCTGGGTTCCTCCAGCCGGATGCTCATCACGCAGCTCTCTAGCTAGGGGGTTGTCTCTTTCTCTAGTGCACGAGCTCTGTGAAGGAACCGCCTAGAGCTCAGCAGACATGAATGAGTGAGGGAGGAAAGCAAGATTGGAGACGGAGGACCTAGGCGCCCGGATGCAGGTGGCCAGCCTCCCAGGAGACTTTCCAGAAGGGCAGTGGAGATGGAGCTGGGCGGACTGGAATGTGGTAGTTGAGGACAGACCTGTGCGCAGACCTGATAGAACAGGTAGTGCGTTAGCCAGGAAGCTGAGCACGTGACTCTAGAATGGACTGTGTAGATGCTGCCACCTGTAGCCAGAGACCATGGCCTGCCACCTGCCACCTCCTGCTGCTCCAAGAACTAGCTCAGAACTCGGGGCCTCAGAACAGCCATGGTGCCCTTAGCAGCCGAGTGCTAACTGGCCCACCTGGGAGCTTCCTCCTGGGGCTTCTCAATTTCCCTCCTGATGCCTTTCAGGAAAGAAACGCAGGGCAATGAGCTGCATACCATCAGACTCAGGTTCCAGCTGCCTAGAACTGGGGCTGGTCGTGTAACCTCCTTGGGTCTTTGTAATCCCCATTTTTCAGATGTGGAAACTGAGTCTTTAGCGCTGAAGGCAATTTTCAAAAACAGAATGTAATTAGAGTAATCAATAAGGTGTAAGCTTTGGTGTCTCTCCTTGGGGTTCAATCCCAGTTCTACTAACTATAATCTGTACAACCTTGGCCAAGTTAACCTCTTTGTGCCTCAGTTTCTTCATATGTGAAATGGACAAAAATGATAAGGCCTATGTGGTCAACCTGCAAGGATTTAATGAGATTATACTTGTAAAGTAATTAAAGTGACAGCTGGCACAGGGTAAGTGTGCTGTAATTTTAACTGCTGTTGATTTTATCAGTATCTAAGGAGGAACGTGGTTGGTTTAATCCGGGCTATTTCACCCCTTAGCTGGGAATCTTGGGCAAGTCTCGTCTCAAAGCCTCTGTTTCCTCATCGTCAAATGGGAATAACAATGCCCACCTTTCCCAGGGTTAAAGGATAGATGAATGAAAAGAGGTTTTAATGTGTGAGGCAGAGTGGGCATCATCCGAATTAGACAAGCTCTTGCTGCGATAAATCGGTAATGAACAACCCCCAGATCTCGCTAGCTTCCTCTCACAAACATTTCTTTCCCTCTCACAAGTCTGGGGATTAGCTGGGACAGCTCAGCTTAGGGATGCTGCAGGTGTCTTTTATCCTGAGACCAGTGGCTTCTGGGCAAGCTCTTCTCATGGCAGGTGGAGGCTCCAAGAAGGCTGGTGCCTTGCCTTGAAACTGGTGCACTGTCACTTGCACCCATATCCCATTAGCCAAAACACAGCCCAGGGCCAAACCCCAAATCACAGGGCCAGGGATGTATGCTGTTCCCCAGGGAAGCCATGCTCAGGATAGGGAGGAAGTAGAGATTGTGGGCAAACAGTACCATGTACCGTCTTACCTGTGTTAACCACCTGAGATTATAGATGGGGAAACTGAGGCCCAGAAAGAGGGAGGGAGAGATCCGCGCTCACAGGGAGTCAGCGTCTCCCAGATGGTTCTCCTTCGCCCCTCCCCCAGCTCCAGCTTGTTATCCATGGAATTAGCATTTCCTGCTCTTCAGTCAGCCCTTCAGGCACTTGAATCCCGTGGGCAGGACCATGGCAGTGAGGAAGTAGAATTCTGTCTGTCTTCCCACAGGGCAAGCAGAGGCCCAGAGTGGTGACTCACCTGTGACCACACTGCCCGGTCAAGGGAACAAAGAAAGAAGACCCAGGATACCCAGCCTCCCCTCCAGGGTTGACTGCCCAGCCCCAGATTCTTCCATCTGCTGAGGAGACCCAGTCGATAAACCAGGAAGGAGTCTGCCCACCTCCTTCTCCTCCCCAAGCAGGTCCTGGGGAAATAGGACTGTCAGGAATTCAGCTATCTGGGCCCAGGAATGTCCCTTAGATGACTGGCATTCCTTCATTGACACCCGCCCCACCCCCCTCACTAGGCCCTGACTACAGACCGGGCCCTCAAGAAATCGAGGTGAATGAGGTCTCCTCCAAGGGTACAGACAGCCCCTCCCATCAAAACGACATCCCACCTGTTCAAGCAACATTTCCCCAAATGTGGAGCAATTCGAGCTGATCTTAGGGTGTACCCGGATGCAACATTGTGCAACATAGACTCTTGGAGTGAGAAAATTGTAGTTCTTCTCTTTTCAGACTTTCTGATTACCCCAGGGAGGAAGTCTCAGTTTAGAGATCTGTATCTTTAACATCTCTTAACCCTTGCTCATCTTCATTTATTACAACAGAGAGAGAGAACAAGCTTCAGGCTCACGGTCTTGGCAGGTGGCAGCATCCAGCTAGAATTCAATAACATTATTTAACATTGTTTAATCTGGCATGATTTACTTTAATGGAACTTAGCTGTTTTCGTTGCATTTGCTTTTACAGTTCCACTCTATTTGTGGCAAGTGATCCCGCGCACGCATTTATAGTAGCGATATCAAGGTTTTCCTTTGAAATAAATGTACTCATATATGAAGGTGAGTCCATTTAAAGAAAAACCTTAGGTGAGTAGTAGTACAGGCCGTACGCAAAATCATGGAGCTGTTCGGCAGGTATGGTGGAAACTGTGAAAGGGGTATGTGAATATTCTGATGTTTGGAAAACTCTGCTACAACATACGCTTGGGGTGGCTGGCTGCCTGAGGGAGGGATAAGGACTCCACAAGGAGGGGCCTGCTTGTCTTGGGCATTTTAGGTGGAAGAAATGTGTGTACAACAAGATGTGAAAGTGGGCGTTGGAAAGGATGAGCAGTTCAGTGTGCAGGAGAGGGGTCCTTTGCGGTCTGGCTATGGACCCTGATTCCCAGGAGGAGAAACTGTGGGTGGGTGGGGGCGGGGGTGTTGCAGGTGGAATGACTCCAGATCAGTTTATCGGAAGGTTGGAACGGCCGCTGGCAGAGAGAGTGCGGCCTGGGTGGCAGGGTCCCAAGCCCGTCATCATCATCTTTTGCTGCTGGGAACATCAACCTGAGGTTCAGAGCCGTGGATCCTAAACCAGAATCAGCCTGAGGAGGAAGGAGGGAAGGGTTAACCCCCTCCCATAATAGGGCTCTGGGGTCTGGGCTTGATCCCCATCCAGACCCCATCGGCCCAGTCCTGGTGGCCTCTAAGGCAGGACACCCCACCCTCCTTTACAAGGACAAACTGAAGCTGAGAGCCATTTAGGAGTGTGGTCCACGTAACACAGCAAGTTCAGTAAGAGAACCAAGGTTCCCCAGTTCCTCGGTCATCCTAACAGGACCCCTCCCACTCTATCCACTTCCCCAATTCTGGCTACAGGGAGGCCCAGGCTGCTGGGAAGGTATCCTGTTAAGCGTGTTGAGCTGGAAGGATATCATGAGCTGGGGCTCAGAGAGGGAAAGAACCTGCCCCAGGTGCACAGGAACCATACCTTTGACAGGGTTTCGGCAGTCCCGGCCGCAGGCGCCGAGGCAGCACCGGCTGGAGCCCCGGCAGTCTGAGTCCTGGTGGCACAGGTGCTGAATGGGGCTGAGGCAGCGCAGGGGGTCCTTGGGGCAGCTGCCCTGCTTGACTGCAACACAGGGGCTGGGTGAGCCCTGCCTGTGCCCGGCCCGGGGGCTCGGGGCTTGGGCGGCCAGCAAGGTGGAGGGGGACCTTACCTGAGACCAGACGGACACACTGGCGATAGCAAGCCTGGTAGCAGCACTTCTTCCTTGAGGGACACTGGCTGTCGTCCATGCACTGGTCCGGCACCAATTGGAGGCACGGCCCATCATCTGGCGGACAGCCCCCCAATTTCTCTGTAAGAGAACCCCCAAATCTTACAGCTGGAGGCAGGTCAGACCACCAATCTGTTCTCTGTATCTATGCACTTGGTTTCTTTTGTTTTTTCAGATTACACATAAGTGAGATCATGCGGTATTTGTTTTTCTCTGTCTGACTTATTTCACTCAGCATAACGCCCTCAAGGTCCATCCACGTTGTCACAAATGGCTGACAAATTTTTTTGATTCCAAGCCTCAGTTTTCTGTCTGTGAAATGGGAAGTTGGACTCTTCTTCCCAGGCCTGGTTTGAAACTCAGATGACATAAAGAACAGGAAAAAATGAAGTCCAAAGTCTCCACTTGGGCCCATCTCTGGCCTCACCCTCTCCGCTCCTTCTGCTTTGCGGCTCCTGACCTGGTCCAAGCTGCTTCTCTTCGCAGGGCCTCGCTTGGCTGTGCCCTCTGCCTGGTGCTCTCTCCTACACCCCATTCGTCAGGCCTCAGGTGAAACACCACGTCCTCAGCAGACCCTAGTCTCTGACCCCTGATTAACTAAGTCAGTCCCCCCCGGCCCCTGCCACCTGCTTTGCTCACCATCAGGCTGAAGCACAGCTCTTGACATAAAACACTAGGGCTCGGTGGTGATTTCAAAGAAAGGGTTTTGAAGGGAGATCGAGCATCACAGGTATGTCAGCTATTGCCAGCCTGGTGCATTGTCACACAGCCACAGTCGGCCACATCTGGGCCGTGTGCTTGTCACCATTGCAGAGGGCATTGTTTCAGGAATCTGCATTAACTTGGTCTTTGAGGCACTCTTCTGAAGGGCTCTAGAATGTTCTGTGCTAGAGCTTACCTAGCCACTCTTCTTCTTAGGATTTTGGGCCATTTCTGGATTTCACACAGAGAGCTTGAGTCAGTATCTTCTTCCCTTTAGAGGGAGAATTCAATGCCTGACAGGAGAGAGACTACCCTGACCCATGCGTGCCTGGCCAGGACTCTGAGTCCTCATCTCCCAGGGCGGTGCTCCCTCTGACCTCCCATGCCTCTGCTCTGGCTGCCACTGAGCCCTGGGGACGGGGACTGGTCCTGGGCCTTGATTTCAGTCAAGTGTCTGAGAAAAGATTGAAGAGGCCCCAGCCGCAGCCGGATCCAGGGCTGTGGCTTTCCTTGGTGTCCACCTGCCCTCTCCAGCCCCTGACTGGGTGCCAGGCGCCCCACTTGCTGGGTCACACTCAAGTCTTCATCTGCCTTTTCTAACGTTCCCTCTAAATTCAGGCTCCTCGCTCATGGACAGATGCATAGAGACGCAGCCATACACACACCAACCGTCGCACAGTGCCCGTAAGTCTGATGGATATGTAGACCCAGAGAATAAAAGAATCACACCCAGACACAAATATGTATATACACACACAGATGCAGATACACATACATGGTCAAATAGGCAAACACACGGTGTATATACACAATTACCCGTGGGCTCAACCACATGAAATTGCTGATAGTCGACTTTTTTGATCTACAAAAGTTGCAATTTCATATGATTTAACCTATGCATATACATAGATACACATATCCAGAGGTTCACAAGACAGTTATATATATGTACAAACACAGTCATATATGTACATATGAATTGGGACATATTCACATCATCAAATATAGAGGCATCCCCTCATATATACAGGCCTGCATACATAAATATAGAGACACAGATAATTGCACATGCACTCAGACGTGCACAGTCATATATATATAAACATGTAGCATACGTGTGGGTGTGAACAGAGGCATACACTCGCATACACAGTCATATACACACAATCATATGCACAGTGCTCCCCAGACACAGATCTATCCATCGGTACCATATAACCATTGAATTCACTTGTAGACACTATTTATCAGGGACTGTGCCAGGCTCTTTAAGTCAGGGACCCTTAGATGTTTGAGTAGGGGGGGTTATTTTAAACAGAGGTGCCTGGGCTTCCACAGACAGCAAAACTGAGACTTCCCTCCCCTCAACCCTGTCACTCCTCCACCGTCTGAAGTTCTACCCAGAGTCAGGCAGTGGCTCATGGGAACCAGGGAAGGATGGAGATGTGGTGAACTGGGGGAGAGACCAGTGTGGACCACTTGGCCGTGAGAGAGGTTCTGAGCAGGCTCCGGTCCCGCAGGTGCCAACTCTCATCTCTGAGCAGCTGGGCTGACTGTCAGGGTGTTCGCTCCAAGTGCCCGCAGCAGCTCTCCCGATTGCCCACTGCATTACTGTACGCCAGGCCCTTATTCCTCAAGACACCGTTTACTCCTGAGAGAGAGGCATGAGACCTCATTTTACAAGGAGTAAGTTGGGGAGGTGAGACTTCCCGATTCTGAAGACCTGCACTCAAATGCCGCTTACAGACTAACTCAGAGTCAGTCTTTGGCCTTGGGCAAGTGGTTTCCCACTGAGCCTTGCGTTCCACATCTGAAAAATGGGGATAAAAATAGTCCCGACCTCACAGCATCGCAGTGAGGAGGCAGGTGGTGATGGCACATGAATCACAGCCGGCGCGGGCTCCGGCCTGGGAACTTGCAGCACCCTTCCCTCCTCAGCCTGGGGTCTCTGAGCAGTCTGCTCCCCAAGCCTGCTCACGCCCAGGGAGAGAGCCCTGCCTCCGAGGAGGGCCTAAGTTACGCTAGAGGGGGCAGAGAGGACGTAGGAGCCTGTCGCCATGATTGTCCCCTCCCCCCAAGCAGAGGCAGGACTGCACAGGTGTATGCCGGTCAGAGAGTTCCAGCCCCAGACAGGGATGGAGGGGGAGGCCTCGCCCGGGTCGGGAGGCGCAGTCCAGCTGCTCGGGCAGCCCCTCCTCCCTCGCTTGTTGACAGGTGAGCCTCAGCCTTTTCCAGGAGGTGGGGGAGAAGAGGGGGGTGTCGAGACTCCTCCCCACAGATCCCAGAGCCCGGAGACCACGCCCCCTACTCAGGTCCACAGTCCCTTCCACACACTGGGCTGCGGGACTGAGAAGGCCCAAGAAGGACAGAAACAAGATGGGCAGAGGCCAGACCAGGCACGGCCTTCTTGGCCACACAAGATGACGGAAAAGGTCATCTCCCCGCCCTGCGGACCCTCAGATCCAGACACCTCCATGGAGACAAACAGGGAAGAGCGGGTGCCGAGAGGTTCGCTCCCCCTCCCCACAGGCACAGAGACACGTGTTCACATGCGTACAGGCATACAGGCTCGACATACATGTGTGATGCAGTCATACCTAAGTATACATGTGCAGACACAGATTCGCACAGACAAGCAGGCACAATGATACACATAAACACGGAGACAGGCGCATGCGTGCACACACAACCTCACATTCAGACATGTAGACAGACACAGACAAACACTGAGAAACTGGCCGGAAGATATTTACAGATAAAGACACGGGCAGACTGACAGGCATGACGATACACAAACAGAATGCAAGCAGCTGGAAGCACCAAGAAGCAGGCACACACACAGACACACACAGAGACACACGCACAGGCATACACACACAGACACACACAGGTACACACACACACACACACACACACACACACACACACACACTGCATTGCCTGCCTTCCTCAAACCCTTGCTGTCCCCAGAGAAGTAGATACCGCCTGGTCTCTGGAGCAGAGGAACGGACCCACACTCACCTCTCTTCCTGCTGCCCAAGGCAGCAGGCAGCTGGCTCCCCAAAGCCAGGAAGGCCACCAGGAGGAGGAGGCTCCAGGCCCTCATGGTTCTGCTGCCAGTATCTAATAAGGTCAGGGCCCAGGGGCCCCTAAATTAACACCTGCAGCTCCAGGAAGGCTAGAGCAGCTGAGTCAGGGGAGGAAGAAGAAGGGGTGGATGGAGTGGCACATGTCTGCTTTGTCCTGGCCCCACCTCCCGCCCAAGAGCCTCAAGGGTGCTTGTGCAAGAACCGATGATGGGTGGGGGCAGGTCCTGGGTGTGGGGGGCTAGGATCTAGTCCTGCCTGTATTGCTGACTTGGGCTGTGATCTTGGGCACGTCTTCTCCCTCTTTGGGCCTCAGTTTTCCTCATCTGCATAAAGGGTGAAGGCTGTTGAGTCAGACCCTCCCTTTCCTGGGTCTCTAAGATGTTGAAGCCCCAGCAGGGGATGGAACTCAGCTTTGAACGGCAAGGAGGGCGTTGCAGAGTCCTGGATGCCCAGGCAGCATTGGGGTTGGGGTCAGAGCTCCCTGCTGGAGAAGGCTGGCCCAGGCTGGCACAGTGAGTGAGGCCAGCCCGGGACCCCGTGGGTGGGAGAGAGAGCCCCCCGCCTTCGGTGAGATCCTCTCCAGTGGATCTGGGAGAACTGCCCTCTGCCAGCTGCCTCAGCTGTCGGGTGTGGATGGAGCACGGGTTTTGGTTTGGCTGAGGTTGCTGGTCACAGCAGATGTAGGTGGCTTCTGGGACCCCCTCCCCTGGCCCTAAGGGATCCTGAGCAAAAAGTCATCTCAGCCAAAAACACCACCTTGGATTTCACATTATTTGCCTCCTGCATTTGGTGAAAGAGAGGCAAGCTGGGGCTCAGGGTCTTAAGGGCCCCAAACAGAAACCCCACTGAACCAAAGTACTTTACCAGGACTGGAGGAGAGCAAGGCCATCCTCCCACCCTCCCATTTGAAAGATGAGGAAACCGGAGGCCAGAGGTAGGAGGGGACTGGCTCAAGGACACACAGTTAATTCCTAACTAATCTGTGACTTCTGTCATTGCATCCTGATAATTCCTATTCAGTTCCTGGACCTTTGAAGCAAGGCGTTACCTTGTCTGACCCTGAGAGAGGAAGAGGATATTGCAGGCCAGGACAACCCTCACAGTCAGGAAGTTCTTCCGTGGGTTTAACTTGAATCCCTCATGCTGTTTTCAAAGCTCTCAGGAAAAGAGGAGCCCTATATTCTATGATCTGATGTTACTTTGGGGATCCTAGCATCCCCTTGGCAGCTTTATTTAGAAGGCGCATTTTTTTGAGGCTTTTTTTTCCTGATTACAAACTACACATATACATTGAAGTACTGCTTTTTCAATTAAGATTATTTTGAGGACATTTTCATGTGTCGTGAAGTGTCCTCCAATAGCATCATTCCTAATGGTTACGTGGTATTTTCTAAGATCGATATGCCAAAACGTATATCATCAGTTCCCTATTAGGAAACATATAGGTTTCCATTTTTTTCACTCTCATAAATAAAGCTGTGACAACAATCTTTGCACACACAGTTTGAGTCACATCTCTAACTATTCTCTTAGGGTAAATTTGTCAAAGTAGAAATGCTAGGTCAGTGAAAAGGTAGAAACCTCCAGTTATAAAATAAAGAAGTCCTGGGGGTGTAATGGACAGCACGATGACTATCGTTAACAATACTGTACTGCATATTTGAAAGTCGCTAGCAGGGTAGAGCTTAAAAGTTCTCATCATAAGAAAAAAGTCTGTAACCACGCATAGTGACAAACGTTAACTAGACATTATGGTGATCACTTTGCAATGTAACTAAATACAAATCATTATGTTGTACACCTGAAACTAATGTCATGTTACATGTCAATTTTACCTCAATAAAAAATAAAGCAAACAACAAAGAGAAATGCTAGGTCAAAGGATGTGATCGTTTTTCTGGCTTTGAATATCCGGTCAAATGGCCTTTCAGAAAGGAAGTAAATGAGGGTAGGGGAGCCTACACCTGCTCTGTGTAGATGTGTCTTGTTTTTGTCTGCCCAGCATCCGTTCTTTTGGTGGAGTCGTTGCCCCCCAACTCCTCTAATTCTGGGTGGCTGCTGATCACCAGGTACTTCCCCATGACAGGTGAGGGCATTTGGCCCAGGTTAGAGCCACTGGACTCTTCCACGACCTCTAGCCTGCCCACCTGTCCATTCAATTCTGATCAGAGAAGGCAGTGCTCTAAAGAGAAGAGTCTAGGGGCCGGCCCCGTGACTGAGTAGTTAAGTTCACGTGCTCTGCTTTGGCGGCCCAGGGTTTCGCCAGTTCGAATCCTGGGCGCGGACATGGCACCGCTCTTCAAGCCATGCTGAGGTGGCATTCCACATGCCACAACTAGAAGGACCCACAACTAAAAATATACAACTATGTACTGGGGAACTTTGGGAGAAAAAGGAAAAATTTTAAAAATTAAAAATAAAGAGAACAGTCTGAAATTCAGCTCCTGTTGCTCACAAACAAAGCTACTTAACAGATACACCCACCAAGTATAGGATATTAAGAAAGAAGTAAATCAAATCTTTGCCAATGGAAAACAGTGTCTCATTTTAATTTTCCTTCTTCTGAATATTGGTGAGGGAGAGCATTTCTTTATCTGTTTATACTGATTAATTGTATTTCTTCTCTCGTGAATTGCCTGTTTTTCTATCTTACCCATTTTTATTGGGGGAACTTTTATTTTTATTATTGAGTTTTAAGAGCTGTTTATATATTAAGGATACTACTAACTTATACACAAGAGGCAGTATGGTAACGTGGCTAGCAGATGTAAACTGGAGTCAGGCAGCCCTGGTTTGGAATCCTAGTGCTACCAGGTTCTAGCTATGTGACTTTGGACAAGTTTCTCAACTTTTCTGAACCTCAGTTTTCTATAAGATAGAGACAATAATATTTATTTTAGAGGACGGTTCTGATGATTGAATGAATGAGCTTGATAAATGCTTATTCTAATCCCATCCTGCAAATATTTGTTTCCTTGTTTTTGCTTTGGACCAAAGTTTTAAACTCTGGAGTAGGCAACTCAGTCTTCTCTTTCATGTTTTAATCCCTTTGTTTTTATGCTGAAAAAAGTCTTTCTTGACTGATGTCAGATAAATATTCACCTTATTTACTTATAGTTCTTTTGTGATTTTTGAAAAACATGCTAAATCTTCAATTCACCAGAAATTTATTTTGGTCTAGGGAGTGAGATAGGGAAACACCTTTTTTCTAAGTTATTAAGGAGTTGTTCTAGTATCATTCAGTGAATAATTCAAACCTTTTCTATTTATTGGAAATCAGAATTTTATTAAAAACTCGTCTTATATGTAACAGGAGCTTGTTTCTGGGTTTTCTGTTCTTTCCATTTGTTTATTTTCGTGTCAGTACCACTTTTGTAGCTGCAGCTTCACAATACATTTTAGTGACTGATGGTGTCATTACCCTTCATTAATCTATGTTTTCAGTTGTCCATGACACAAGTATTCCATTCTTCCATATGAACCTAATAATCACTTTTTTTAAGTTCCAAAAATAAATCCATTGTCTTTTGTTAAACATTTTGTCATAAAGATTTTCAAAAATATGTAAAAGAACAGTAAATATTTTTATGAAGCCCTGTATACCCATCACCCAGATTCAACAATTAACATTTTCCCCAGCTTTATTAAGGTATGATTGACAGGGGGACAGTGTTAAGATGGTGGTGTAGGCAGACTCTGAACTCACCTCTTCCCACAGACACAGCAAATTTACAACTACTCTTGGAACAATTACCCCTGAGAGAACTGAAGTCTGGACAAAAAGAACCCCTGCAAGAAGGGACAGTCCTAACTGAGGCAGAAGAGGCAGAAATTCCTTTCTGAAGAGAAAAAAATGCCACCTTTGTGAGACACAGTGCTTCATGGCCAGTTGGAAGCAACCCTAAGGTACGCAGCCTTCCCTGGAGGAGTCGGGGGCCTGAGTGGGGGAGTGGTACCGCTATAAACATCCTTCAGACTCAGCACAACTGAGACAAGTGTCATAATATCTAGCTTTGTTGGCTACTAACTAAAAAGGGAAATACCCCCAGAAAAGCTAGCAGATATAAGGAAGAAAAGCCTGGCTCTTAAAGGACCCACCCATTTTGGAAAGCAACCTAAAATCACCAGAAAGAAAGGTTCACAGTCTTTTGGTGAAAAAAGACTCACCTTATAGGCTCTGAGTGCATCTCAGTGAGAGGTGAGACCTCTCTAGGAACTGAGACAGTGGTGGTGGCTATTACTGTGACCTAGTACAGGTGTGGTGACACAGACGCTGGCAGATGTCATTGGAGTTCTTCCCCTGGCCTGTTAGCCCAGGGTTTACTCCACCCACTAGAGCACTGATTTAATCCAGCTCAGCCAAGGCAGACAGCCTGCCCTAGGGACTGGCCCCATCCAACAGCAAGCCCTTGGGCAACTTGTGGACCTGCATAGGCAGGGTTCCTGGAACCTCAGCAGCTGAGCGAGTGGGTCTCACTCTGCGGGGCAGGGTACACACAAGGGGCAGGCCTGCACTGGTGGACTGTGTGAGGCCTAAGCAGTGGGGCAACTGGGTCTGCCTCAGCAGGTTGGGGCACATGCACAGGGCAGGACTGTGTTAATGGGGTGTGTGGCCCTGTGGGTGGTGGGGCTTGTCAGTTGCAGCAGACTTGTGTTTCTCAAGCAGCCACAAAGGGAATTGGCTCCACCTTCTAAAGCCTGAAACAATTCTGTGCTCCCGTGCCTGGGACCCGCCCTGCTCAGTGGCAATCCTGAAAGAGCTGACAACAGCCTTGCAGGCTGGAGGCCTACAGCAATTGCAAGCCGCTGAGCCTAGCAACCAGCCACGCTGTGGGCCTACTCACTTAACAGAAAAAATGCAATAGCATTGTGCTATTAGACCTTGCAGCCACCTGTGCTGCCGTTCCCCATGCCTGATAAAGTGACTGAAGTGTCCACAGTAGCCACACAGAGCTGAGCATTACAACCAGCCAGCCAGGGGGACAGCCTAGCCTTCCAGAGCACCTGTAGCATGAGCAATTCTGTCACAACAGAAGGACACATATAGCCCACAGAGGGTACACTCCTGGAACATTTGGAACTGGTGATGATTGGGAAGCACACTGCTGGGT